TGACGAGGGAGTGGCGAGCCAGACCAGAACACATCATCTCCTTCAAAAGAGTGATGACCGAGGTCTACTGAACTTCGTGGAGGAAGTGTCAGACTGGTCGGCTGGATTCGGGAGTTGAGTTTGTAGGGAGCGTGGTTTCACAGACGCGGAAGTGAGAGTGTTGGTGAAACGCCGGCTCACGCTTTAATCTAGGAAACCCCCGAGCGTCAACGAAGTGACACGGAAATGCCAGGCTTTCCAGAAGTAAGTAAGATAACTTACTATGAGCTGATAGTTCGTGGAATGGATCGGTAAGTTGGAAACTCTAATCATGAATCTGAAGAAACATGACTGAGTGGTGAGCTGGAAAGGCGACTTCCGTTTATAGCCGCGGTTTGTGACGTAGGTGCGACGTGGAGGGAATCCCCGCGAGGGGCATGCTGGGAGTTGTGGTCCTTAGTGGAGGCCGGCTAGCTGGGAGAGGCTGGCCTGGGAACTTGGGTTCTGACAGGAGGTTGAGGTTGTTGACCGAGGGGGAGTCCTGTGACGAATTCCAGGCCCACATGAGACCAAGGACGGCTGGGCACCGGAAGAGGTCTGAGCACACCAACAGGGGCCTGGCTGGGTGTCTTGGAGGGGGCGCAGATGTCACAGGCGCTAGTGTATTCCTTTACATCCCTCACCATGCATGGCCACCAGAGCGCTTGTTGGAGGAACTTCAGGGTTCGAGAGAAACCCGCGTGACGAGTGGGACCAGGAGAGCGCCTCGCTACGACAGGACCTAGGGACATAGAGACGACCCGCGGGGGTTTCTGGTGGTGCGGGGTCGTCCCGGAGGGCGTTCTGGATGGCCTCCTCCAATGGCCACTTCAGATGGGCCAGGAAACGGTGCTCTGGGAGAATCTGTGCCGGCACGGATGTTGGCGTGGAGTGGATGAACTGGCGAGAGAGGGCATCAGCCTTCTGGTTCTTTGTTCCAGGGAGGTAGGCGAGATGGAACTCATAGGGCTCGAAGAAGAGGGCCCAGCGGGCCTGGCGAGGATTGAGCTGCTTGGCGGATCGAATGTGAGTCAGGTTCTGGTGGTCCGTCCATTTCCCTGTTTTCATTGGTTCACTCTATCCCTTGTTTTACCCATTTGTCTTCTACTAGAATGTTTTACCTTTTTTGTAATTTGTAATTTGAACTGCTTTTATTTTCGATTTATTCACCATATTTAACTTTGTCATGTACTATGTTCAGCGCCTTGGGCTACCCGACAGGGTTGCGGAAGGCGCTATATAAATAAAGCTTTGATTGATTGATTGATTGAATTATACAGGTTACACGCAGTTAAATACAAAACAACTTTATGTGGATTTATTCAGATGTAATTAGTTGTATTTTTGATATAAAGACAGTTATGAGCTTTCTCCAATGTGCCATTTTTTGTATGGGGTATAACGGTTTGCAATGCAAGGTCAGTGTAAGTTTGTTTATACGGTACTTTCCAGTTATGTGAACAACCCCAAAATGCTTAACAGAATAAGATTCAGCATAAAAACAAATGTCCATTTAAATAAAATCGTCTCGTCTCGTCTCGTCTTCCTCCGCTTATCCGGGTCCGGGTCGCGGGGGCAGCATCCCAACTAGGGAGCTCCAGGCCGTCCTCTCCCCGGCCTTGTCCACCAGCTCCTCCGGCAGGACCCCAAGGCGTTCCCGGACCAGATTGGAGATGTAACCTCTCCAACGTGTCCTGGGTCGACCCGGGGGCCTTCTGCCGGCAGGACTCCGAGTCCCTCCCGAATGTCCAAGCTCCTCACCCTATCTCTAAGGCTGAGCCCGGCCACCCTACGGAGGAAACTCATTTCGGCCGCTTGTATCCGCGATCTCGTTCTTTCGGTCATTACCCAAAGCTCATGACCATAGGTGAGGATTGGGATGTAGATCGACCGGTAAATCGAGAGCCTGGCTTTCTGGCTCAGCTCCCTCTTCCCCACGACAGATCGGCTCAGCGTCCGCATCACTGCAGACGCCGAACCAATCCGCCTGTCGATCTCCCGATCCCTCCTACCCTCACTCGTGAACAAGACCCCGAGATACTTAAACTCCTCCACTTGAGGTAGGACCTCTCCCCCGACCCGGAGGTGGCAAGCCACCCTTTTCCGGTCGAGAACCATGGTCTCAGATTTGGAGGTGCTGATCCTCATCCCAGCCGCTTCACATTCGGCCGCGAACCTACACAGCAAGAGCTGAAGGTCAGAGCTGGATGAAGCTAGGAGGACCACATCATCCGCAAAAAGCAGAGACGAGATTCTCCTGCCACCAAACTCGACACACTCCACACCACGGCTGCGTCTAGAAATTCTGTCCATAAAAGTGATGAACAGAACCGGTGACAAAGGGCAGCCCTGGCGGAGTCCAACCCTCACTGGGAACAGGTCCGACTTACTACCGGCTATGCGGACCAAACTCACGCTCCTCTGGTAAAGGGACTGAATGGCCCTTAACAGAAAGCCACCCACCCCATACTCCTGGAGCGTCCCCCACAGGGTGCCCCTGGGGACACGGTCATAAGCCTTCTCCAAATCCACAAAGCACATGTGGATTGGTTGGGCAAACTCCCATGCCCCCTCCATCACCCTTGCAAGGGTATAGAGCTGGTCCACAGTTCCACGGCCAGGACGAAAACCACATTGCTCCTCCTCTATCTGAGATTCAACTATCGATCGGACCCTCCTCTCCAGTACCTTGGAGTAGACCTTTCCAGGGAGGCTGAGGAGTGTGATCCCCCTATAGTTGGAACACACCCTCAGGTCACCCTTCTTAAAGATGGGGACCACCACCCCGGTCTGCCACTCCCTAGGAACTGCCCCCGATGACCACGCAATGTTGCAGAGACGTGTCAACCATGACAGCCCTACAACATCCATAGCCTTGAGATACCCAGGACGAACCTCATCCGCCCCCGGGGCTCCGCCGCTGTGTAGTTGTTTGACTACCTCAGCAACTTCTGCCCCCGAGATCGGACAGTCCATCCCCAGGCCTCCCAGCTCTGGTTCCTCCTCGGAATGCGCATTGGTGGGATTGAAGAGCTCCTCAAAGTATTCCTTCCACCGTCCGACTATAGCCTCAGTTGACGTCAGCAGCTCCCCATCCCCACTGTAAACAGTGTGAGCTAGTTGCTGCCTTCCTCTCCTGAGGCGCCGGACAGTTTGCCAGAACCTCTTTGGAGCCGATCGATAGTCTTTCTCCATGGCCTCACCAAACTCCTCCCACGCCCGAGATTTTGCCTCGGCAACTGCCACTGCTGCACCCCGCTTGGCTATCCGGTACCTGTCTGCTGCCTCCGGAGACCCACAGACCAGCCACGCCCTGTAGGCCTCCTTCTTCAGCCTGACGGCTCCCCGAACCTCTGGTGTCCACCAGCGGGTACGGGGGTTGCCACCACGACTGGCACCGGCCACCTTACGACCACAGCTAGCAACAGCCGCCTCGACAATCGCAGAGTGGAACAAGGCCCACTCGGACTCAATGTCCCCCACTGCTCTCGGGACGTGGTCAAAGCTCTGCCGGAGGTGGGAGTTGAAGACCTTCTCGACAGGTTCTTCTGCCAGGCATTCCCAGCAGACCCTCACTATGCGTTTGGGTCTGCCAGGTCTACGCGGCATGTTCCCCTGCCATCTGATCCAACTCACCACCAGGTGGTGATCAGTTGACAGCTCCGCCCCTCTCTTCACTCGGGTGTCCAAAACATACGGCCGCAGGTCAGATGATACGACTACAAAATCTATCATCGACCTGTGACCTAGGCTGCCCTGGTACCAAGTGTACCGGTGGGCATCCTTATGTTCGAACATGGTGTTCGTTATGGCCAAACTGCGGCTTGCACAGAAGTCCAATAACAAAACACTGCTCGAGTTCAGATTAGGTGGGCCGTTCCTCCCAATCACACCCCTCCAGGTCAAGCTGTCATTGCCCACGTGAGCATTGAAGTCCCCCAGCAGGACAATGGAGTCCCCTGATGGAGCACTATCTAGCACTCGTCCCAGGGACTCCAAAAAGGGTGGGTACTCTGAACTGATATTTGGCCCATAAGCACAAACAACAGTCAGGACCCGTTCCCCGACCCGAAGGCGCAAGGAAGCTACCCTCTTGTCCCCCAGGGTAAACCCCAACACACAGGCAGAGAGTCTCGGGGCTAACAAAAAGCCAACCCCAGCCCTCCGCCTCTCACCCGGAGCAACTCCAGCAAAGTAGAGTGTCCAACCCCTCTCCAGGTCTCGGGTTCCAGAGCCAATGCAATGTGTCGAGGTGAGTCCGACTATATCTAGCCGGTACCGCTCAACCTCTGCCACAAGCTCCGGCTCCTTCCCCGCCAGCGAGGTGACGTTCCATGTCCCAAAAACTAGTTTTCTTGTCCGGGGATTGGACCGCCAAGGCTCCCGCCTTGGTCTGCCACCCGATTCGCATTGCACCGGACCCTTCATGTTCCTCCTGCGGGTGGTGGGTCCACAGTTGGACGAGCCCATGTATCCGGTTCGGGCTGGGCCCGGCCGGGCCCCATGGGCGAAAGCCCGGCCACCAGGCGCTCGCTCACGGGCCCCAACCCCAGGCCTGGCTCCAGGGTGGGACCCCGGTAACCCTCCGGGCCGGGTACTCCGACTCTTCGTTTTAACCGCCATGAAAGATCCTTCGAACCGTTCTTTGTCTCACCCTTCACCTAAGACCAATTTGTCATGGGAGACCCTACCAGGGGCACTAAGTGCCCCAGACAACATAGCTCCTAGGATCATTAGGGCACTCAAACTCCTCCACCACGATAAGGTGACGGTTCAAGGAGGATTTTAATAAAATCACAAAACATAATGGTGTAACACAACCACACAATAACAAAAGCATTCATCTACAATATATTAACCTGTTCATATAAGTGTGTGTTAAGTGTGGATTTTAAATGTTCCAAATTCTGTCGTCTTTAGTTGCAAGGGAAGGCAGTTCCACAATCTGACCCGTCATCGAAAACACTCTGTCTCCCCTAGTTTTTCTTCAGAATTGGTAAGAGGAATTGAACGTTAGACCTCATATTTCTTGTCGGAGATAAGATGTTTACCAGTTCATCGGAGGAGCCAACCCATTTAGGGGTTTGGAAACAAAGAGCAAACATATAAAATGGCTTCTCTATGGGGAGCCAATGAAGACAGGCCTGTACGGGGATAATATTATCTCACTTCCTAGTGCATTGCCATGCATTTTGGGATAACTTTCTGACCCAAGTCCACAGAAGCATACAATGGACAAAGCAAGAACACATCCAGGAACTCTGAGAGACCATGCTATGATACATACTAGGGCCAGTGTTGATGGCGTTTCACAAGTATGTGAGTACACAAGTTTAGACAACACCTTTTGTGAAAAGGCCATTGACTGTGTATCTGTTACAGTAATGTCTCTAACATGTGAATGTTTTCCTTACTTGTTTGGTTTTTAATAAAGGGTTGACTTAAAGACAGTATGGCAGTGGTGCACAAAACAAGTTTTTATTTGTGACAAACTTGCAATTTTGTAAGAGTTTGAGTGGCAAACAACTTAGCACCTCCACGCACAGAAAGCTTTCCCCTCACTTTGCTTCATGTAATTTCTGTAACTCACAAATACATTTACTGTTAAAAGTTGGGCTCATCCCAGATATGAACCCAGGACCTCTCACACCCAATGCAAAATTCATACTCCTAGACCAACAAGCCAAGCAGAACACAGCACAGACTTTCCATTAGTGTTAACATTTACTAAGGTTGAGTGCTTTGATCCAATAGATACAGACCAGTCAGTGATGGTTCTGACTCAACCAAGGGCGTCAGTTTGTTTTCAGAATTGCTGGGGACAATAACCATACACTTGAGTGGGGTTTAAAAATTGCTGGGGACAATAAAGTAGGCTAGCACAGGGGTTGGCAATCCGCGGCTCTGGAGCCGCATGCGGCTCTTCCATCCATCTGATGCGGCTCTCTGTGCTTGTAAAATAATGAATGGATATTTAAATAAAATGCTTTATATTTTACTGCATTAATTTTACATCTGTAAGTCAATTCTAAATGTAAAGATTGTCTGCGTAAACCTGAACAGGTCCAACCCGGTCTTACTGTGAGACCGGGTTGACGGGTCACGCTTGTGCGTAATCATATAGGCACTTTATGAGCTGAAGACAATATGAGATTCTGGGCTTCTCCTCAGACAGGTTCCTGGATGTGTCGCCACATTGGAGACGGGAACAAGCGCTATTCAGCCAAAGTTTCATAATCAGGGAACATTTTCTAAGTGACAAGTCTCTCTGAGAGACAGGGTTTGGAAAACACTCGCTTCAGTGGGAGGAATCTTCCCGCATGCGCTCTGGTTCTCTGGGTGGCTCTGGGGTTAATCAAGTTTAATTGTTTCTCTTTGCAACAATTTTCACAGGAAGGCAAAACAGTTAAATGGCAGGTTACATATATTTCCATTTGACTGTTTATTTTGACAGATGAACTCAAGGATGTTGCTTGGTTTGAAATAATTACCCCGACGTACACTGATGCGCATGGATGAGCTGACATTTTAATCATTAACGCACATCGCGAAGGTAAAATATTCCCATCAGAACATCAGAGCTTTATACTGGACACTGTGTTCAGCGCGGCTCGGAGCGCCCACGGTGGACAGTGAGCTGAAGATCTGAGGGGTTCGCAGCGCAGTGCAGAACCACGGCTCATGCGATGATTTCCTCCCACTGAAACAGTCTGGAAACCCGGTCTCTCTGAGGGATGTCACTTGGAAAAATGTTCTTTTTATGAAATTATGAAACTTTGGCTGAACAGCGCTTGTTCCCGTCTCTAATATGGAGACGCATGACGCGTAGAGACATTTGATCACGCACAAAGTTTATGTGGAGCAGAAGCGGCCGGGCCACGGCAGGTGGAATGTTCCTAGCCTACATGAAGTGAAACTGTTTAATTGTAACATTAATATGTTACTGGACACGCTGGTCTGGTTGGTTAGACCAGTGTTCGAAGTGGAAAACATACACACACACCAATTAAAATAATGCTGATAGCATGGACTAGAAGCCAGGTGATGGTTTACGTATTTAAATGATGATCAGGCTGCTGTAAAATGTAATCTCCATCCACATCCAGACACAATTATCCTCTATTCTTTCTCTAGTTGCTCTGCTCTTGTCTGGGCTGATCAGCTGATGGTGCGCCTAACTAGCGGCTGATGCACATTTTACGCATTTGGAGAGGTGGGCTGGATGCTTTGCTTTTACTGGAAAATGGTCCACTTAACGCACGGGTGTAGACTAAATATTAATGACAAATGAATGAAAATTAAATTGGGAGTTTTTACTTCATATTTTATAAATTAAAATGACGGGGGAACACATTTATGACGTCTTTTTAAACTAAATTTCCTAGCGCGACCTGCCTGCTTCACTTAAGTCACTGCTTATTAAGGTCCGTCCAAAATTACCGTGGGAAACGGGTAATAATGGCTCTTTGATGGGAATAGGTTGCCGACCCCGGTATAAGATCTGAGCTGGTAAAACAAAAATCCTCATCAGCAGGCGTTTTTGAAAGAGGGGGGGACACAGTTGCCAATCACAAATTTTGCCGGGGACATGTCCCCGGCGTCCCCGGTTAAAATGACGCCTATGGACTCAACCCAGATGTTTGAGGAGCTGCTGCTGGGCTTGTTTCCTGAGCTACCGCCACCTCAATCACAGGCATGTCCCTAGGAGCGGTGGGGGGGCCACGGACACTTGAAGAGGCAGGAGTTGTGTCTTGGCATTGAGATGAGCTTGTTTCAAGTTCAGGTTGGTCTCCACTGGGGCTGTTCTTTGTCTCCAGTCCTGCATGACATGGACAAACTGATTAGGACTTTGTCTACGGTGATGATGACAGCAGTGCTCCAATGGGTCGTGGTGAAGGAGTTGAGTCAAAATGCAAAGCTCATGTTTCACTGGTTTGTAAAAATACCAACGACCCAGGATGTTAGCAGCTGAAAAGACATCCTACATAGAGTAGCTGGGATCAGCCTTAAAGACAAGGTGGGATCACCTTTGTTAAAGTGGACCTTAGAGAAGAGCTGGTGCTCCTCCAACTCAAAAGGTCATCTGAGGTGGTTCCTCTATCTGAATAGAACTCCTTTAGTGGGTTTTTGTACATTGTCTTTGCCCCAGGAATGTCTCGATATTCCCAAAGAGAAGCTAGAGAGTGGCACTGTAAAGGTGGGTTATTTTTTTAAGTGCATGTTATATCATAAGACATCAGTTAAATGTAAAATCTATAAAGTGATTTCAACTTCCTGAACAAGAGGCATGTACTTTACCCTGAATACATTTTCCATTTGAATCATTTATAATTACCAGTTTGTTCTTCTTTGTTAGCCTCTGATGAAGAGGGGTTAATTATAATGCGTTAAAGTGGAGAAACTGCCTGGTTCTGGCTCTGAGCCACACAAACACTGTGATTATTCAATTCAAGTCTGCAAATAAATAGTGTTTTAACTGTTTTCATGCATCCAGCTGAGGAAAACCCATTAATGAGTTAGAGTAAACTGAACTGTGACCTGTCTCTTATTAGGCAAACTCCTGCAAATGGATTTTCTCACGTTTCTGTCGATGTTCCAATTTCCTCGGACAGAACTAACGAATATATTAAATTTAAATTATTTTGAAATTGACTGAATTCGAGACATCGCTCATAAACTTTGAACAACTGCCTTCAAAATATTTTCCTCGTTAATCCTTCATTGTCCACAAAGGTTAAACTCTACTGACTAAATTGAATTTATAAACCTACAAATTAAGTCCAGCAATGAGGCATGATGGGAATGAATGGTATTGTACCAGTTTCAAGGATGTCACTATGCAAACATTAATACTTTTAATAGCTTCAAAACTGACAGCTTTTATATTGCACATATTCCACTAATATGAAACCAGTCTGTCCAAGAACAGCACACAGGAGGAAAATAATACATGTGGGTCAAATACATCCAAATAAATAGATTCTGTTTTATAATAAAGCAGCTGGTCTGGTAAAAGTACCGATCAGCTGGAAAAGTCACACATTTCAATCTGGCACAGACACTAAACAGTGTGTTTTAAAGCACTTGGAGACCATGGCTATGCTACATCCTTTAAATCTAGATAAGAAGCTGCTCCTGTACAGAGCAAAGCACATCATCATGGTGTTAAATATCCAGACACACATTTGTTTCTTTCTGCAGTCTGCTTGCAAATCGAGTCTTGGTTTTACACCTCGGACTAAAGTGCGCTGTCTAAAACATTCAGGTCACACGCTGACGTATGAGTCTGGTGATGGGAAAGATCAAGTCCAATAAATTAATTCATTTGTCAAAAATTCTATTCATCTGAAACTTTTCTCTGCAGCCACTGAATGTTTTTATATTATTTTTGTCCAGTTATCATTACTTAAAGGTGTACATTCTTTGTTTTCAGTGCATCTTTGTTCTGATTCGCCTTAGCTGCAATCACAGCAGATTTGACCCTAATGAAATCAAATGGATTCCTTCTTTGTTACTTAATTCTACCAAAACAGTCAACATTAGGTTATATGTTTGAACCCTGTAGGTTTATGTGGAGTTTGTAGCATTTGTAACTGAGATCTTAGAACATTTTGTGTGTTAAAGTAAAAAATGTTTCCTACCCTTTGGGGAACTTTGCTTAGGAAAGGTTGTATGAAAGATTAAGGATGAAAGCTAATGTAAAAACAAAGCCCAGTATAGTCCACAGTTGCTGAAAATCCAGTTTATCTAAAGAATTTAGTTTGATTCAATATGGTTAAAACATCCACAAAAATAGACCGTAGACATCCAAACACAGTGTTGAAAACCAAACCAAAACAAGCGCCCCCTAGTGGCTGGTTCCACTACACGTTTTAGTCCCTGCCCCCTTCATGTGAACAAAGTGGCCCGTCTCAGAAATGAATAAAAGCAGAGCTCAGATTTTATTTACTAGTTTTTGACCTTATTGTGACTTTCCACTAGACCGTGCAAGCATTACGTAACGTCTGCAAAGCGTAGTTTGCAACTAATAGCTGCCGTCATTGTCCATGGGTGTGTTTTGACCGGTGGCAAAGCAGCACGTGTCTGATGAGTCCCAAAAGCGGACTGTCATGTTCTTTTGTTAAACTGACTCTTCTGGATTATTTTTTTATGTGCTACGGTTCTAGAGCGAGTTGAGCTCAGTAGTTCAGACAGGGCCAGACAGGAAGTTAAACACGAGGGCATTCGGTAACGTGGCCGAGGTAAACACAACAGAAAATAAACTGCAGACCTTTTGGATATATGCTAACGTCTTTCCTTGGGATTGTTATTGCTTGAACTGGCAAAATCACCCCTGATCTTGGAAATCTGACCTTTGGACGAGCTGTGTAAACACTTTTGCTGCAGATTCACATCTGAAACATTCAAAAGTGTCTCAGACTGTGACTGTGTCCAAATTCAGGGGCCACATACTCCAGAGAGCTCGGCTGGGTTATTTGTTGTGGTCTAAAACTTAAAGTAAGCTGCTGTAAAACATGGCGGTCTGGACTTCTGATTTATTCCAGCATTATCTCGACATATGGGCAAAATATTCCAGAGCTTTTTATAACATCATTGAGGAGCTAGAGCATCTTTAGCATCTTAGGAGCTTGTTTATGAAGATTTTTCAATACGACCAAAATTATGTTTTAAAAATAACTACATAAAAAACAAAAACCTGTTAACACAACTGCATTAAGATTTTAATATCATCACTAATTTTATTTAAAGAGCAAGTAACCCCCTATAAGAAACTTACTTCACTCCCTCTTCATGTTTGAAAAATGCAACAAATGCTGTTGCCTAGCAGACCAAGAGGTTGTAGCCGCTAACAAATACACACATACACACAGGCTCACAACGGCATTGTGACATCATAAGGACCAGTTTACATCATAGCATACCTCTTAGCCAATAGCGGTGGCAATTTAAATTCAAATGCAGTGCAGAGTTTTTACCTGACAAAGGTACAACACTGACAGTTTTAGGCAGAAAATTACAATTTTAACTAAAAGTACAAAACTATTAACTACACGTGTCTGCAGCACGATTAGACACACATTTATATAGTTTATCAGAAAAAAAAGTTGATTTGGGGATGACTTGCTCTTTAATTAACATTTGAAGACCCAAAGGATTCAAATGAAGGCAGCTGACTGGAATATGAGTCAAGCTTATAAACTATTCCTGTGTGTTGTTTCTTAACGACCAGAAACTACATGTGAATACCCCTCCTCCCTGTCTCCTGATGAGTCGCCGAGGTTGTTAGTCTCTATTGTGAGGGGATTGTTGTATTCATTAGATGAAGGAGGGTGTGACCGAGACTGAAACTGTTTGGGGATTTGGTTCAGAGCTGCGTTATGAACCCCTTGGACTACCGTGACCTGGGTGACTGAGAACCTTCACCAGCATAACATTTGAGGAGTTCACCTCGTAAAACAGAACGCTGTTTTTGTACATTTTCCACTTTTTTTTTCCTTCAGGATGCATTTCTTTTATATTTCTCAAAATACAGTTTGTTGAGTTTGATCAAAAATAGCTTTTATCCATTTTTGCAATCAACGCTTAATTTAAAACTACAATCCTCTCTCTCTTGGGACTCAGTTATTATGAACCTTGGAACAGGGTTGGCCATGAATTAGACCTGCCCTTAAAATCCGTGGAAAAGGACACATCTGTGGGCCCATTTTGGAGGAACCTTTTCATTTAGACAGCCTTTGTCACATTGCTGTCACGCAATCAACCTCGAAATGCAACAATCAAATGATTCAATCACAGAATTTAAACACAGCCAATGATTCGATACAACGTGGCAGAGTCTGTAAACAAGACATTGTGGCATCACTTTTCAACAATGGAGACAATACATCCCTATGTTCTATGGTCAATAGCTAAAAACAACCAATATGGTGTCTAAGATAGCAAATGACTGTTGGGTTGGACCATATGTTAAATATGTCATGATATCGATATCATAAAGAATCGTTTAAACTCTAACTTATCCCTAATTTATTACAAATTCCCATTCTAGTGGCTAATTTGGCCTTTAAGGCCTTTAATTGGGTTCAGTTATTTAAGTTTAATATAGCTCCTTTCAAATATATATTTTAATTAAAACCCATAGGTAAACTGTAAGGAAGGGTGCTTGTTTGGGGGGATCATTTAAAAGGGCAATTTGTAAGAATGCCATCCTGTGGTCAAATGTGGTTACTGCAGTCCATTTTAGACACGACTATTAATTTTTCACTCCTGTTCCATATGTTTCATGGCTGTTGCCAGTTATGGATCAACACCAGAAGATTCTAGATGACAAGTAAAGATGAGTCATACACAGTATTGATAAGCAGATACATTGTTATATCTGGTGCTGGCACTCCGATTTTTTAAGATTGGGACCACTTACTAGATGTATTACAGTAGTTTGTCTCCAGCGAAACAGGAAGTGTTGTTTGCCATCTTGCTGTTGTAGTTCTGAACGAATAATTAAAGGAAATGAAATGCCACGATTTACTCATTCACTTCAAACATAAATTTCACTGTAATATTGAGTTATTAGTAACGTTTTGCTTCTAATTCACCATTAACATTGTTAGCTCAAAGTTAGCCTCCAGCCTGCTTCACTTGATATCAGAGTAAAACAAAACAATGTCATGGCTTCTTAGGGGTACCAGAAATAATTCTGAGGTTGTTCCTGTTTACTGGATTTGGTTATTTAAACAACTCTGAAGCTTTTTGCCTGCCAGTGTTCAATTGCAATTACAATCTCACAAACTCAGAGCGTAAACAGACCAGCTGAGAATGAAACCTGTTTCAGTGAAACCTTTCTTCCAACATGGTTAGACTATTCTGTGGTAATTTCACACTTGAATTCTTACAAATTGCACCTTTAAAAACAAAAAGCTCATCTTGTTGACATTGCTGGGGTTTGTGTGAGTATTAATTCAGTTGTGGCGTTTTTTTATGCTTAATGACTACATTTTGGAAGTGAGTAAACAAATGAATGATTAAAGATGAAATAGAAATCCCAGTCTAGTGGATGTAGATTTGTTAGTTGACTCAGAGGCTGAATTTGAGTATCTGAACCCAGTTATCTGGTAAATCTAGGCACTAAAACCACTTGAGTAAAGATTGTATCTTGCCATGAAATAAAATAATTACATTAAATTAAATTACCTTTTTTCTCTTGTTCCACTTTATTATTTTTTACAGTGCGTTGATCCGTCCTTTACTCTTTTATTTTATTTTTTCTGATGAACGTTCCAGGGGGGACTCCACAGGTAGGGTTAAAAACCGTGGTGTAAATGTAAACACTCACATCTTTCATCTCTGGAACTTGTTAGCTGTATTAAAAATAGAAAATCATCACCAGACTCATCGTGTGAATCTCGACCCCCTTTTGGCTCCTGTGACTACAGTAGCTTGGGGACATTTTGACAAAGTGCATCAATATTTAAAGACTGTGAAGCACAGAACATGTCTAGAATGTGCAGCAGGATGACCGCTGTCACACCACCAATTCCAAGAATCCTCTCAAAGAGTCCGATTCAGCTCTGAAAGGCCACGTTGTCCTCCACGTGTCTCTGAAAGCGTCAAAGACTCCAGCTGAGCAGATCAGCTGGGTGAAGCGAATCAGTTTTGATCTGTATGGTTGTTTTTGCTGTAGTTGATGAATCACAGATCTCTTGTTTGCCATCTTATCACTCCTCGTCTCTCGTCGCCCTCACCTGTCCCCGCTTCATCCTCCCACTTTCTGCTTTCTTTATTTTTCTGCTCCTTCAATGCCCTCCACCCACATTCTGTCCCCTGCCTCCCCTGTTTTCTCCTTCCCCTGTAACAATGCCCTGTCGTCTCTCCTCATCCTGTTTCCTCCGCCCACCTTCTCCACGAGCCAGCCTTTATTTTTGGCCCTGCACCATTGGAGCGTGTCCGTCCTGTCCACAGGTTCGCCATTAGCTGATCCTCTGGAGACAGTAGTCATTCTCCGTGTCCACAGAGCTGTTGTGGCCCGACGAGGGGTAGAGGTCACGGCGGAGCAGCCTGTTGACCACAGAAACTAGGACCTTCTTGTACTGCTGACGCAGAAGCGAGTAGGCAAACGGATCAGACGCAGCCTTGCTGTAAGTCAGGCACTTACTGATGATTCCCCAGTGGCGGTTGATGTCCACAAACGGGAGGAGCTCAGCCAATCTGAAGGGACAAGAAATAGATTTTAGTGCTGGTGCAGTAGAAACTGTAAAGACCAGCTTCTCTCTTCTGAGAACGTGACGCTTCTGTGTTTGAAATCCTTTTGTAGGTGATAGCTCAGATTTTCTAAAGGTGGTTTGGAGTTGTGAACTCTTGTGATCTCCCCGTTCTAGATGTTTCTTAAAACCGCATCAGTTTGGAGTACTACATATAATTTTCTGATTTGATTGACGAGCTAACGGCTAGTATAAGCAAAGCCAAGATTAAAGTGGGTCACTGCCATTCTAAAAAACTTATCTGAAATTCATGTCAATGGCCTTTACTCCTCCATATGTTTCGCATTTCAGTGTTTTAGCATCAGAATTATGAAAACGTTCCAACTGTAGCATCTAGGTGGCACAGGAACGTGCTACAGCTAGCAGCTAACATTATGTGGGTTCTTAAATACACAGAAAACTAGATGAAAACAAATATGTATTTTTAAACTGGTGTCACTTTAAAGGTGTCATTCAATGAGAACCCGGGTAATACATGTTCTAAAAAATTAGATCATTATGCATTTCCTGCAGAAAAGAAATAGACGGCAAAAACTATGGAGTCAGAAAAGGCCAGTCTCTTCAGGGAAATTGTGCTTTTATGGCCCCGCCCACCTTGGTTTATAATAACGGAAAAGAGAGAGCACATCGTGTCTCGGCAACTAGAAGGTAACCATTAGCAACTCGACAATGTAGGCAACGCAAGAGTCTTGTTGCTGTTAGCCAATCAGAGGCGAGATGTTTGCATATCATGAATATTACTAACACTTGTAATCCTGTCATTTTTCTGCCCTCCAATTATCCGACTAACTTCTACTTCCTGAGACAGAAGCGCCAGAGTTTTATTCCTCAGAGAACGACACAAGGTATTAATTTACATAAGAGACCACTGCAGATTTATTAAAATAATGAGTGTATGAGTGTCACGTTGGGAGTTAGGAGGAGGTTAGGACCCAAGATGCAGAAACACCAGATGACAAGGCAGGAGCGGTTTTAAAGTAAAATCCTTTTATTCAGGATGAGGAACAAAAAAATCCAAAAAGGGCAGGAAGCCAAAAACCAAAGTCCTGAACACCAGGAGAATGAAAGCTCACATAGAGCACAAAACATAGAGGCGAGGTACAAAACAACGCTGACACAAAACAATGGACCGACAAAACACTCAGACAGGGCTTTATACACTGGGGAGGATGAGAGGGAGATGAACTGCAGGTGTGTGGGGAGAGAGCCCAGGTGAACTGAGTTACTAATCAGGGAGGAAACTAACATGACCTAAGAATAAAACCTAAAGACAAGAAGGGCAGGAAACAACTAATAATCTAAGGGGGGAGAAAAAACCTCAAACACCAGTGGGAAAAACACACTAGAGACTAATAACATTAACAGCTGTAACTAAGGGAAAATAACCTAAGAGAAAAACCTAAAGACCAGAAGGGCAGCAAACATAACTAATATTCTAGGGGGAAGCTGAAACTCAAGAAAAACAATACAGAAAGAAAAACTACAGGGGCGTGAATAAAAGGGGGCCAAGGGAGCACAGGACCTGGGAGGGGGATGCCTGAGGAGGGAAACCTTGAGGGCTGAAGATCTGGGGGCAAATGAGGAACACCAGGAGACACAAGATGAAGATGCAAACAAGGACACATGAGGGCACTAGGAGACACAAAAGGAGAACCTAGAGAGGAATGTATCACGCGTGCTGGTGAGTGAAACGGAGGTGAGGATCCACACGCGGGTGAAGAAGGAGGCAGGCAGGCAGGCAGACAGGAACATTGAAACAGGGATTTTAATCAGGAACATGCAGGACATGGAAACAATGAGCCAACAAGAGACACAGAACCGAAGGGGTTTAAATACATGAGGGCTGGGAGCTTGGGTGATTGGAAAACGAGAGGCAGGTGGGAGCAATTAACAGAGACACATGGCTGAACAGAATGGAGACACAGGACAGGGTGTGACAGTACACCCCCCCCCCCCCCCCCCCCCAAGGGCGGATTCAAGACGCCCACAGGAACACAGAGCAGGGCGGGAGGAAGGAGACCCGGAGGGAGGGCCGAGAGGGACCAAGGGACGGATTGAGAGGAGGCAGGAACCATTAGAGTCCGGGGGCCTGCGCCTGGGGCAGAGGAGGTGACGACAGGCTCTTGGGGGCCTGCGTCTGTGGCAGAGGAGGAGGCGACGACGGGCTCTTGGGGGCCTGCATCTGGCGAGGGCAGGACCGGCGGCGACAGGAGGCAGAGACAATAGAGGAGACGTCCTTGACTTTTGGACTGGAGGCGGCGGCGTCGACCTCTGGGCTGGAGGCGGCAGCATCGACCACTGGACTGGAGATGGCGTCGACCACTGGACTAGAGACGGCGTCGACCACGGGGCTAGAGACGGCGTCAACCACGGGACTGGAGACGGTGTCGACCACGGGACTGGAGACGGCGTCGACCACTGGACTGGAGACAACGTCGACCACTGGACTAGAGGGGGAGACGTTGGACTGGAGGTCACGTCGACCTCTGGACTGGAGGGGACGTCGACCTCTGGACACGAAGGAGCGTCGACCTCTGGACACGAAGGAGCGTCAACCTCTGGACACGAAGGAGCGTCGACCTCTGGACACGATGGAGCGTCGACCTCTGGACACGAAGGAGCGTCGACCTCTGGACACGAAGGAGCGTTGAACTCTGGACACGATGGAGCGTCGACCTCTGGACACGAAGGAACGTCGACCTCTGGACACGATGGAGCGTCGACCTCTGGACACGAAGGAGCGTCGACCTCTGGACACGAAGGAGCGTTGACCTCTGGACTGGAGGGAGCGTCGACCGCAGGACTGGAAGGGGCATCGACCACAGGACTGGAAGGGACGTCGACCACAGGACTGGAAGGGGCGTCGACCACAGGACTGGAAGAGGCGTCGACCTCTGTCGACTTCTGGTCCGGAGGCGTCGACTTCTGGTCCGGGGGCATCGGCTTCTGGTCCGGGGGCGCCGGCTTCTGGACCGCCGACTTCTGGACCGGAGCATTGATTTCTGGACCAGAACCGTCGACTTCTGGAGTGGAGGCGGAGCCGCTGCAGGAGGGGCTGCCGACTTCTGGACTGGCCGGCCCGGGGTAAGAGCCTCTTGGGTCATTGCTGGGACTGGAGCGGACTGAACTGGTGGCGCCAGAAACTGGGAGAGCAGGGAGGATAGATTGTCCAGCTGTAGCTCCTGGAGACTTAGGCTCTGATGGAGTTGGGCCAGCTCAGCTCGCTCCTTTGGCCCTGAAACGAGGGAGCTGCTGACTGAACTGAGACCTTCTCCTGGTGATTCGGGGAGGATAGGGTGTCCAGCTGGAACTCCTGGAGGCTGACGAGCTGACGGATCCGGCCAAGCTCCGCCTGGAGACTGGCGAGCTCTGTCAGCTGGGCTGTAGGCATGGTTCCTCCACCTACAGATGACGGAGGCGCTGATTGGACCGGAGACGGGACTGCTGGTCTGACTGGGGGCGGGTCCAAGCTGGCGCGCAGAGCTGGGGCAGCGGCGAGCTCGCGGCTCCGTCCTGGGACAAGGGGTGACGGTGGAGCCCGGCATCCTTCCCAACACCGTGGACCAGCTCCGGGGGAGCACACAGCCAGTCTGGTGCCCACGTAGCAGGAGCGGTCTAGCTGCGTCTCCTGGTCCAACCTCACATCTAGCTCCGGGAGGCTGGAAGGGATCGTCGCAGCCTGGGTTCGGCGACGGTGTCTGCGGCGAGGCAACGCCCGAGGAGGAGAAGCCGGCCGGTGGTCCGAGGTGAGGAACTGAAGCAGGCACTCCCTGGGTAGAACCTCCCTGCTGGATCCTTTAGTGGGTTGGCTCATTCTGTAACGCGTGCTGGTGAGTGAAACGTAGGTGAGGATCCACATGCGGGTGAAGAAGGAGGCAGGCAGGCAGACAGGAACATTAAAACAGGGATTTTAATCAGGAACACACAGGACATGGAAACAATGAGCCAACAAGAAACACAGAACTGAAGGGGTTTAAATACATGAGGGCTGGGAGCTTGGGTGATTGGAAAACGAGAGGCAGGTGGGAGCAATTAACAGGGACACATGGCTGAACAGAATGGGGAGACAGGACAGGGTGTGACAGAATGGAGAACACAAGGAGAAACATGACGGAAGATGCAGACGCAGACCATGACAAATGAGAGCTTTAAGATTTATTGACAAAACGTATTTTAGTGAATCATTAACCTGTGTGGAACACTGGACCAGCTCTACACCCTTAGGGGGATCCTGGAGGGTGTGTGGGCATTTGCCCAACCAGACTACATGTGTTTTGTGGATTTGGAGAAGGTGTTTGACCACGTCCCTCATGGGGCCCTGCTGGGGGGGTACTCCGGGAGTATTGGGTACCAGGCTCCTTGACACAGGCTGTTAAGTCCCTGTATGACTGGTGTCAGAGCTTGGTCCGCATTACCGGCAGTAAGTCAGGCTTGTTTCCGGTGAGAGTTGGACTCCACCAAGGCTGCCCTTTTTCGCCAATTCTGTTCATAACTTTTATGGACAGGATTTCTAGGCCCAGCCAAGGTGTAGAAGGGATCAGTTTTGGTGGCCTGAGGATCAGGTCTCTGCTTTTTGCAGATGATGTGGTCCTGTTGGCTTTATCAGAACGTGATCTCTGGCTTTTGCTGGAGCGGTTCGCAGCCGAGTGTGAAGCAGCTGGGATGAGAATCAGCTCCTCTAAATCTGAGACCATGGTCTTGAGTCGGAAAAGGGTAGAATGCCTTCTCCAGGTCAGGGACGAGGTCCTGCCCCAAGTGGAGAAGTTTAAATATCTCGGGGTCTTGTTCACGAGTGAGGGAAAACTGGAATGTGAGATCGACAGACGGATTGGTGCTGCATCTGCAGTGATGCGGGTGTTGTACCGGTCTGTCGTGGTGAAGAGAGAGCTGAGTCAGAAGGCAAAACTCTCGAATAAGCAGTCGATCTACGTTCCTACCCTCACCTATGGTCACGAGCTTTGGGTAGGGACTGAAAGAACAAGATCACGGATACAAGCGGCCGAAATGAGTTTTCTTCGCAGGGTGTCTGGGCTCTCCCTTAGAGATAGGGTGAGAAGCTCAGTCATTTGGGAGGGGCTCAGAGTAGATCCACTACTCCTTCACATTAAGAGGAGCCAGTTGAGGTGGCTCGGGCATCTGATTAGGATTCATCCTGGCCGCCTCCCTGGTGTGGTTTTCTGGGCACGTCCAACCGAGAGAAGACCTAAAGGAAGACCCAGGAGACGTTGGAGGGACTATGTCTCTCGGCTGGCCAGGGTACACCTTGGGATTTCCCTGGAGGAGCTGGCCCAAGTGCCTATTTGTGTATGTATGTATGTGTGTGTGTGTGTGTGTGTGTGTGTGTGTGTGTTTACACTTATAAAAGAATTCAAAGGTCATTTACACACAATAAAGATTAAGCTGGAAAGAAGCATGCACTCAGAGTTAGTACCAGCATGACATTGAAATTTGTAAATATATATATTTTTTGCATCTTTCCCCTTTTATATAAATAGTTTTGGAGCTGATTCAAGACTATGAGACAGAAAATTATTATTTGCAGGTCATGTGTATGCACAGGAGCCTCCTTTTGAAGGACAGGTCAGTAAATGCGGCTCCAGAAGACTAAAAAAAGTGTTTGTAAACTAAAATATCCCACTAATATCATCTGAGAAAAGATGGATCAAACCAAAATATATTTTTTCTGCACTAAAAGCATAAAATGGCAAAGGAGCAATAACTCCTCATGATATCAATATTACAATACCCTCAGGATCCCAGTAATAAATCTGGCCAATCAGGAGGTTCATAGATGATAATGGAGAAGACACTGAAACACACATGTAGGCAGGAAAGAGACAAAATATATTGGTCAATCTGAAATGTTGTTTTTATGAAATGTATAACATTAACACTACTTCCTGCACTCTAAAAAACAGAAACGTTGAATTAAATTAACCAGGTCGTGTCACCTGGTTCAACTAAACCTACTGTAGTTGCTTAAATATAAACAATAATACACATTTTTTACATAACGTATTATTCTTTACATTTAAGGGTTTAGAGGGACCAGTTGATTTAACTTGGTTAAATTCAACTTTTCATTTCTTACAGTGTCGTTTGTCACCACAGAAGCGACGAAAGTCTCATTTATGAGTAAACTGACTGTTTCTGTCAGATTTTCTGGTCTTATCTGCAAGTGTCCAGGTGGGTTTTGTTTACAAACACCAGAATCAACAAAGCTGATGCACATCTGGATGCTATTTATCTAAAACCAGGAGAAATTAATCCCTCTGGGATTAATAACGTATTTTTGAATTGAATTGAAGTGACAAAGTTCCTGACCACCCACACCTGAGTGTGCTCTCACTTACAAGTGGGATCATGAATATTTGAAGCAGCTGCAGAAGGGTTTTACAGTAAATTAAATCATTGATGAGTTGTCAGCAGGTAGACTTACCTTGTGATCACATAAGGAGCGAAGCAGATGATGAACGAACCGATGAAGATGCTGATCTTCTTGGTGGCTCTCTGCTTCCTCCTCTTCTGCTCAACTAAACACCTTTGTTTAACGCTGCAATTAAAAAAAGCAATTTCGTGTCTTGAGCACTTTTAATCACGTGCACGAGACTGAACGAGAGCACGTGAGCTGGTTTACCTCGGGTGGATGTCGACCAGCAGAAAGAGGGTCTGCATGGTGATGATGTCGATCCTCTTGCAGTGAAAACGCGCCACTTTCAGCACTTTTAAGTAGGTGAAGCACAAGGTGAGCAGGGACAGCATGAAGCTGGTGGCGTGGAACACCACGGTGAAGACTGTGAACTTGACCCCGTCGCTGCCCTCCGCGCTGGGCTGCAGCGTGCAGGACGCGTACGCGCGGCTGTAGTCCAGCCAGGAGAAGAGCAGCGCCGTCAGGGAGAAGGTGAAGGAGTGCAGCCAGGAGTAGCACACCATGATCAGCGCGTCCTTGTAGCGCATCTTGGTGGCGTAGCTGAGCGGGAACACCACCGCGATCCAGCGGTCGATGCTGAGCGCCGCCATGCTCAGCATGGTGTTGGCGGTCAGGAAGGTCTCCAGGAAGCTCACCGCGCGGCACACGCGGTCCCCGAACGGCTGCTGGTCCCGGATGATGCCCACCAGAGTGGCTGGCATGTTGAGCACCGTGATGAGGATGTTGCAGAAGGACAGGTTCATGGTGAACACCCCGGGGACCTGCCGCCGGATCTCGCTGCTGTGGACGAAGCATAGCAGCACCAACAAGTTGGACAGCAGAGACACCACTGCCACCACCACGATGAACAAGGCGAAGAGGCTTTCAGCAAAGTCCATGTCTTCTACTCCTCCCCCTTGTCCTCCGTGTCTTCAGGTTAACCTGCTCCTGGATCCACCGGGATCACCCTCATGTCTCCAACATTAGCTTCAGATCCGGGTGTGTGCGCGCGTCACGGTCCTCTCCAACTTCCTCCCAGCGCTGTCCAGCGTGCTGAAGCGGATCCTCACCAGCATCTCCCACAGACAATGTGACTATTATTCCCCGTTAAAGTGCGCGAGAGTGGCTTTGGCGCATGGAGGGAGGCGTGCGCGTCTTCCCACTCTCTCATCAGCAGGTTTAGATGGGGGGGTTAGAAGGGGTGGGCATCAGGTCCACTAGAGGGACCGACCTAAATAATACCCCCAAAATTCACTGGTTGTTAAATAGAAAAATAAGGTGCTTCCATCTTGTGACGCATCGATTTTTGCGCAAACTTATAAAACGTTAATAAATAAATAAGCACGCAAAAATAAACGACATTTAGAGTTTTAGTCACCGGCTGGAAGAGAGAGTTGCAGGAACACATCAGAATGAGCTCCTGCTTGCAGAGACGCATCTGTCTGACCGGTTTGGCACCAGGTGCGCAGCCAGCGCGCGAGTCGTTTCCTGACATCAATCATTTATATTCATGGGTTCAAAATGTTTCATCATTTGTGACTGAAATGCAAATAAATTACATTTATGACTGAGGGCTGCTGTTAGAACAAAACAACAATAACAACACATGATGCAATAAACTAGTTTTTAATTTCTTTATGGGGTGCCATTTGTAAAGTCAAACAGTCATAATCTAACAGCAATATTTTTGGTTATTTAGCATATCATAAGAGAAAAAATTGAGAGTTCACTTTTTCAAAGTCATATTTTCACCATGTTATTCATACATTTATAAATGTTAAAGTTTCCAAATAAATATTTAGATAGCACGCTAAATATTTAATTTATAGTTAAATATTTATGTTGCAAACTAAATATTTAGGTCTGATCTAAATACTTAGTTTGTAAAATAAATATTTAATTCACTAACTAAATATTTAATTTACTAATTAAATATTTATTTTGGAAATAAATATTTAAAATTTAAATTAAATATTTAATTTGTAAATTAAATATTTTCCAAAGAAATATTTAGATCCCAGCTAAATATTTATTTTCCATGATGTTATTTAGCTCCACACTATAGTTTATATTTTTGGGTCAGACTTAAATATTTATTTCCCAAATACTGATTTTGCAAACTAAATGTTTAGCTCGAAAATAAATATTTAGCTGGGATCTAAATATTTATTTTGGAAAATAAATATTTAATTTACAAATTAAATATTTAGTTCCAAAATAAATATTTAATTAGTAAATTAAATATTTAGTTAGTGAATTAAATATGTATTTTACAAACTAAATATTTAGATCAGACCTAAATATTTAGTTTGCAAAATAAATATTTAACTGCAAATTAAATATTTATCTTGCTAACTAAATATTTATTTGGAAACTTTAACATTTATAAATGTATGAATAACATTATGAAAATATGACTTCGAAAAAGTGAACTCCCAATTTTTTTCTCTTATGATATGCTAAATAACCAAAAATATTGCTGTTAGATTATGACTGTTTGACTTTACAAATGGCACCCCATAGTTTTCATGACATTTAGCGTGTATTTGGCTGTGTCCGAATCCAGAGGTAGGATGCTTGTGAGTACGGGTCCTCGCCGGTCTAGCAAGACCGGGTCCTTGCTAGACCGCTAAAACCGGAAGTCAGCGGCTCTGAATTCGGACAGTACTAGCCTCGTTTTTATTCCCGCCCCCAGGACCAGTTGCTTAGCTACCGTGACGGCGTCAAACAGGCTAACAAGCTAACAAGCTAGTCAGAGGTGAAAATGGATCCACAGCAGTATTCCCTTTTATTTTTGGTTTTTGAGGAGCTGCGACTGCTTAGTAAACGTCACCGGCCTTTGTATTTAAGGCTGAGAAGCAGCCATATCCAGGTAAAATTATTTTTTGTTTAGTGAACCAGCTTTCAGGCATTACATGTTAACTTTAGTGCTATAGTTTCATTTATATTTTAAGCAACAGAAAGACATGTGGCTGAATATACACATTAGTATAGAGTAGACTAACATGCATATAGTTAATTTAACCTATATTCATCTAAAATAATTAATGGAATGACATTTTAAAAGTTTGTATTTGATCATAATGCTTGGTTCTGTGCATAAATTTCATAGTAAAAGTAGCATTACAATGTGTTTAATGTGTATTGTCCTTTTCAACTTATGCCTAATAATGCCTAGCTCTCTTCTAAAAATCTCAAGCATTTATACAGGTTTTTTAAAATTGTTTTATTGTTCTCTACTTTTCTTTTAACAGAACAGACCCCTGTACTGTAGGATAAACATGAGTGTGCCAGTCCTGGACCGTTTTTTTTAACCAGGAAGATCCCAGGCCAGATTTTCGTCTGAGCAGGGAGTCTTTTGTGGTGTTGCTAAATCTCCTGAACCAAGATCGGCGACATGGTTGGGGTGCCACAATCGAGACCCTGGTGTTTCTGTTCTGGTTGGCAAGTGGAACATCCTACAGGGTGGTCTCAAGAGTATTTGGGATGCCTCGCTCAACTGTCCACGACATCGTCCATCGAGTCACGGAGGATGTGGTCGCAATCCTCCACCAGGTCATTTACCTCCCCAAAACCCCAGAGGAGATGGAGGTTGTGTCTCGTGGGTTTGCTGGGCTGGCTCGACACAGAGCTTTCATGAAAGCAGCAGGTGCGATCGACGGCTGTCACATTCGGATCAAGGCTCCGAGCGGTCCTGATGGTCAGTGCTACAGAAACAGGAAACTGTTCCCATCTATCATCCTGCAGGCAGTTTGTGACCATCAGGGCCGCTTTATCGACACCTATGTGGGCTGGCCTGGGTCGGTCCACGACTCCAGGGTCCTCCGGCACAGCCCACTGTACAGGCAGTCAGCCTATCCTCCTCCAGGGCACTTCATCCTCGCTTATGGAGGGTACCCATGCCTCCAACATCCACTCCCCCTCATCACCCCCTACAAACGGGTGGTTCAAGGTGTGGGAGCCCAGCGCTTCAACAGCCAGGGCACGCTGCATCATCGAGCGTGCTTTTGGAATGATGAAGACCAGGTTCAGGACCATCTTCCTGAAAGCGATGGAGGTCCACCACACCTTTGTACCTCATGTAAGTTAACACAAAGTGGAAATAAACTTTGGGTGTAATCTTTGTTTGGGAATGAAATATAAATTAAATTTTTATCTCTATTACAGGTCATCATAGCATGCACCATCCTGCACAACATCTGCCTCAGTGCTGGTGACATTGTGGTGCAGGACGATGAACTGGAGGATGATGCTCCAGAAGATGAGGGGGAGGCTCGTTTGGAGGCAGTCAGTGGTGCCCTCTGGCGGGACCAACTTTCTGCTGAGGTGTCTGCTCTGGAGGAAGTACCACCAGATCACAATTACTGTTAACAGGCAAGTAATTTACGTAGGAATCTCTAGTTTAAAAATCATTTAGTCCTGTTATCTGCTAGAGTTACAAGTATTATACTCATGATCTCCTTTTTTGCATATATCTGAATGTTAGTGATGTGACAGCCGTCGATTGAGCCAGCCCAGCAAACCCTTTTGATGGACGATGCAGTGGACAGTGAGATGACGCATCCAGACGCACCCTCTGCAGACCACTCTGTCTGACGTTCCACTTGCCAACCAGAAACGTTCAGCCACGGATCTCGGTTCCTGCACTCCATCCACCTCGATGATCCATGTTTAGTAGATTTAGCAACGCCACCAAAGACTCCCTGCTTTCCAAGTTTACTGTATATATTTTACTTTTATCTTTACTTTTATTCCTTACAGTGTTCCCTTACAATTTATTTACTATGTTGTTACTTGTTAAAAACTGAATAATAAAACTGTTAATGATCAAAAAAGAGTTATCAATTAATAGAAATTTTATTACATTTAAACAAATAACAAAAACATTCAAACACATATATAGAACCTGAACCAGAAGAAACTAAAAGAAAAAAACTCCATTTCTCTGCCATCCTTTCCATCAATGCTAAAAATCTGTCCATCCTTCTTTCTCTCCTCTCCTCCGCTTCCCTCTGTTGTCTCATGTCCTCCCTGATCAGGTCAAGGAGCTCATCAGCCCTTCTCCTTTTTGTCCCTGATGAGGAGTCCGGCTTCCTTCCACCACTCTCCCTGTCCTCTGTCTCACCCACTGCTGCACTTGGCCCTGGAGTGTCCTCGGGAATGGAAGCAATAAGGACAGGAGGCATAGTGGAAGGCCTCTGTCCCAACACCTCGTCCATGGGGACAAACCAGCGGCAGGTTTCAGCAGTGGGCTTTCCACTGACTCCCTCTCCTGACCCTGGATACTTGCAGTCCTACAGACAAAGGGAATTAGAATTACAAGGCTTTATTGTCAGTTAACAACAGAGAACACTGTGGGCATAATTAAATTACAGATGCTCCTTAAAGGTACTGGTTCTGGATGAGAATAGAGAGGAATAGAAGAACAAAGTCAGATTATAAATCATAGTTGATAAAACATGCAATAAACAATATTTTAATTTATCAACATGGGAGATGAAAATTGTGTTCTGTGTTTTTTTCCGCCTAAAATGAAATGTGGTTTCTTAAAAATTAACTTAAATAAACATTAAACTTAGTATTCGTTATTTTTGGCGTTCGTTACATGATTACATAAGATGCAAGCTCTTTTACGGTGAGTTTTTTCCTATTAGACTTTCAAGCAAGTTTACGGTGGGGTGTTAACCTTAAAACAAATGATGAGAAGCTTTATTCGCTAAATAAACACACACACACGGGAATTATGACGGGACCACCATACAAGCTCGTTCTCGCTGATTTCTGCTTAAAATGTACTCATACAAACGACAAATGTCTATAAACAGAACCGCTTTCAGCTTAGTTTTCTACCGCTATTTTCTTTTGAAAAGCCTGCTGGGATCAAGCTAGTTTACGGTGGGTTTTTTCCTATTAAACATTCAAGCTGGTTTTCGGTGGGGCATGTTTTAGCCTTAAATTACATGAAAAAAAAACAATTTGCGGTATTAGATCTTATATAAAACACAAACCAAAAGTGCCCAAACACGTATTTTATTTTTTTGACCGCTATTTTTTTAACTAACTTACATTTTAAGCTGTACTGCTGTCCCGCTCCGTCCGCCGTTGTTGCGAGTGTCGAGTCCAGCGGCCGGCGTGCAAAGCATGCTGGGATACCCTTGCTCCTGTGAGGATCCATCAGACCCATCCTCGAAATGTGGGTGGAGCGAGGACGCGTTTGAGGACGCGAGAATGAGGATTCTTGGAATTCGGACAGTACTCGTCGCTGCGCTTTGACGTCATCGACCTCAAAATGCGCACTCACAAGCATCCTATCCGTGGATTCGGACACAGCCTTTGTCATGATGTGAGGGTGGGGATGGCGGACCATGTGTGGTGGGGGGTTCAGGAGGCAGAAGAGCAGGCACGGATGAAATAAAATGGATTTAATAGCAACGGGCGCGACAGGACAAAACGAGACATGCACATACAATGATCCGACAAAGGACAGGTGCAAAACAGGTGGTATAAATACACAAGGCTAATTAGGAAAACATGGGCAGGTTAACAAGGGGCAGGTGAGAACAATAAGGGCTAATCAGGGCAGGAGAGGAACACAGTCAGGAAGGCAGGGGCAGATCGTGACAGTATTTTATTTAAATCATCTTCAGCTTTACAAATTTTTGAGAACATTTGTTTTGCATTGTGTGGGAAAATAACCAAAAGTAAACTGGTGCACTCTGGGAGGTTCATGGAGTTCCGAGGACTCGCTTTGGGAACGGTGGTTCGCTTAGGGACTATCAACGAATTTGTAGTCCTTTGTAAACGAGTACAAAAAATAAAAATAAAAAATAAAAAACTTCCAGAATTATTTCCTAAATGACTCAAAATTACATTTACAAGACACAACAGTTTTGACACGCTTTACACAATCTGGTCTTCTTTTATTAGGATTTTATTCCAAAATTAAGGGATTTTTTTCAATAGCTCCTAGGTAAATAAGTCTAAATACACAAAACCATTTCTCAATGTTGTTACTAAGCCAGACCAATGAGACACAGCAATTTTTAACACCTTTAATATGATCGGATCTTTTTTATTAGGATTTTTATCAAAAATTAAGGGATTTTTTTCAGTAGATCCTAGTTAAATTATTCAAAATACCCAAAACCATTTCTCAATTGTGTTACTAAGCCACACCAATGAGACACAGCCGTTTATAACACCTTTCATACAATCTGATCTTTTTTTATTGGAATTTTTATCTAAAATTAAGTGATTTTTTTCAATAGCTCCTATAAATCAGTCAAAAAAAACCAAACCATTTCTCAATTGTGTTACTAAGCCAGACCAATGAGACACAGCCGTTTTTAACAACTTTCATATAATTTGATCTTTTTTATTAGAATTTTATTCCAAAATTAAGGGATTTTTTTTCAATAGATCCTAGCTAAATTAGTCAAAATACCCAAAACCTTTTCTCAATGTTGTTACTAAGCTAGATCAATGAGATACAGCCGTTTACAACAACTTTCACACAATCTGATCTTTTTATTAGAATTTTTATCAAAAATTAAGGGATTTTTTTCAATAGCTCCTAGGTAAATCAGTCTAAATACACAAAACCATTTCTCAATGTTGTTACTAAGCCAGACCAATGAGACACAGCAATTTTTAACACCTTTAATATGATCGGATCTTTTTTATTAGGATTTTTATCAAAAATTAAGGGATTTTTTTCAGTAGATCCTAGTTAAATTATTCAAAATACCCAAAACCATTTCTCAATTGTGTTACTAAGCCACACCAATGAGACACAGCCGTTTATAACACCTTTCATACAATCTGATCTTTTTTTATTGGAATTTTTATCTAAAATTAAGTGATTTTTTTCAATAGCTCCTATAAATCAGTCAAAAAAAACCAAACCATTTCTCAATTGTGTTACTAAGCCAGACCAATGAGACACAGCCGTTTTTAACAACTTTCATATAATTTGATCTTTTTTATTAGAATTTTATTCCAAAATTAAGGGATTTTTTTTCAATAGATCCTAGCTAAATTAGTCAAAATACCCAAAACCTTTTCTCAATGTTGTTACTAAGCTAGATCAATGAGATACAGCCGTTTACAACAACTTTCACACAATCTGATCTTTTTATTAGAATTTTTATCAAAAATTAAGGGATTTTTTTCAATAGCTCCTAGGTAAATCAGTCTAAATACACAAAACCATTTCTCAATGTTGTTACTAAGCCAGACCAATGAGACACAGCAATTTTTAACACCTTTAATATGATCGGATCTTTTTTATTAGGATTTTTATCAAAAATTAAGGGATTTTTTTCAGTAGATCCTAGTTAAATTATTCAAAATACCCAAAACCATTTCTCAATTGTGTTACTAAGCCACACCAATGAGACACAGCCGTTTATAACACCTTTCATACAATCAGATCTTTTTTTATTGGAATTTTTATCTAAAATTAAGTGATTTTTTTCAATAGCTCCTATAAATCAGTCAAAAAAAACCAAACCAGTTCTCAATTGTGTTACTAAGCCAGACCAATGAGACACAGCCGTTTTTAACAACTTTCATATAATTTGATCTTTTTTATTAGAATTTTATTCCAAAATTAAGGGATTTTTTTTCAATAGATCCTAGCTAAATTAGTCAAAATACCCAAAACCTTTTCTCAATGTTGTTACTAAGCTAGATCAATGAGATACAGCCGTTTATAACAACTTTCACACAATCTGATCTTTTTATTAGAATTTTTATCAAAAATTAAGGGATTTTTTTCAATAGCTCCTCGGTAAATCGGTCTAAATACACAAAACCATTTCTCAGTTGTGTTACTAAGCTAGATCAATGAGACACAACAGTTTTTACCTTTCATGCGATCTGATCATTTTATTAGAATTTTTACAAAAAAATAAAGGGATTTTTTTCAATTGCATAGGTAAATTAGTCAAAATAACCAAAATCATTTCTCAATTGTGTTACTAAGCCACACCAATGAGACACAGCCGTTTTAACAACTTTCATACAATTTGATCTTTTTTATTAGAATTTTATTCCAAAATTAAGCGATTTTTTTTCAATTGCTCCTATAAATCAGTCAAAAAACCCCAAACCATTTCTCAATTATGTTACTAAGCCAGACCAATGAGACACATCAGTTTTTAACACCTTTCACACGATTCAACTAAACCAGTCAACTTCAGGGTTCATTTCAAGATCCTGGTTCTGGTCTATAGGGCCTTACATGGACAAGCACCATCTTACATTGGTGATCTTCTTAGTCCCTACACCCCCAGCAGGTCCCTGAGGTCCAGTGATCAAAGCCTACTGGTTGTGCAGCACCAGGCTAAAGGTCAAAGGTGACAGATCATTTGCTGCTGTGGCCCCCAGACTCTGGAACACTCTCCCCCTGAGCCTGAGATCAGTGGACTCAGTGGTCTCCTTTAAAAAACAGCTGAAGACTCACTTGTTCAGGCTGGCTTTGTATGACCTTCTTCACTACTCTCTCTTTATTCTGCTCTCCCCACCTATTCCACCTTCCTCAGGATCCACTGATTTCCCTCTTTCCTATTCTCTCTCTCTTTCTTAACATTTATTTTTTAATCATAATTGTCTATTTTTGCACATTTTAAATGTATTTCTAAACATTTTCTAAATGCTTTTTTATATTTTTACATTTTTGTTTTTGTTTTTGTGAAGCGCCTCGTGATTTTTATCTTGAGAGGCGCTATATATATAAATTCAAATTTCAAGTTCAAAGATACTTTATTAATCCCAGAGGGAAATTAGAGTTTCAGTACACACAATTCTGAGATCAGACATACAGACATAGACCAAGGGTGGACTTTAACTTCAAAACCAACCGGCCAGCCGGGCTGGTAACTCTGAAAATTTACTGGCCCCGCTGGTCAGCTGCCAAAACGAGTCAAAATAACAACTGAACCATTTTAAATGTAATAAACCTTTATTTTGTACACATTCACAAACATAATAACGTATTCAAGTTTGAATTTGTTTGTTCCCTCAACAACTCGATTTTGTCGTCACATACTTATGGCATACAACGCAGTACATCACCTCCTCCGCTTTGCTGTACTCGAGCCATTGGCTGTGTTCGAGATGAGCAGTTCTGCGCAGAGTAGACCAGCGGTGATCGGCTAGCAGTGCATGCCGGTTAGATTTGTGTCCGACTTGACGACGACTTGCTCTGACGTCATGCATACGTAGGCAACGATAACCTCGTGAGATCAAGGCGGCCGCATATTTTGGAGCAAGGCGCTGCAGTTGCTCTCTACCGGCTGCAAAACCTAGGGGATGATGGGAAACGCCTGGCTCTCACCTGATCTAAGATCTGATTGGTTCATATTTTGATCCAAACATCGGGTGGTAGAACATGAAATGTTTGTTGGTCACACGTATTCTGTAAATCACGTTATGTTGATGATGACAACTATATAGGCCATAAAAAAGAAATGTGTTTTGTGTTCTTTTGTCACGTTTCCTATGAACACACTAAACCTA